CAAAATCCCCAGTGTTAAATTAACACTTTAAAGTGTGAATTATATCAACTCTGAGCTGAGTGTTAAATGAACACTGAAGCAGTGTTAAAGTTAATGGGATAATTAAGTGAATAATTGAGTGATAATTGAGCATTATTGAAGACACCTGATGATAACAAGCAGAATCACTGAAGGAGAAAACCATATCTTTTAAGTCACCATTATGGAGATCAGTGTTTGCTTTAGTTGGGCTCTTGACCCTTAATTCATTAACTTTAGATTTTGTTTGGTTGTTGTACATGACTTATAACAGCCAGATGAACAAATAGAAAAGGTGATCTGATGGTGATGGTTGTGTTTTAACATAATCATTAATTCACAATCATTTGACCTGAATCACTGAATTCATATAGAACCTAATTTCTGAGTTAGGTTTACTTTATAAATTATAGCAGCAGTGACCTTGTACACCAAAATATTTTTAATGTTTACAATGTATTCAAAATAATTTCTTTAAAGCTTTTCTTATACAATTATTTACTTCTCTACTATTGTAAGACACACATACATCAATAATCAGCCTGTGAATCTCAACAATGGTGACAATAATAAAGAATGTTGCAGTGCATTCTGGGTGCCACCAATCAAATCTCATTCATGGCTCCCATCATGCATTGCAGCATGAATAAATAATGAGCTTATGTTCAGAGGTGATCTGTTTGTCACCATTGCTGATATTAATATGTTAATTCTTGAAGTCTGTGCCTATATTAAATATTTTGGGGATTTTTTAATATATATATATATATATATATATATATACACATATTAGGGGTTGAACGACTTCAGATTTTTATAAGTCGACTGTTATGACATCAAAGTCGAGTCGACGTCGACTAGTCACTGACGTCATTCATAAAAACACAAGAGATGTGACAGATTTGCAACATGCCACAATTAGCAATTAATTAACAGAAAGTGACGCTGACAGCTCATAATGGGGCCATTTACACCTGGACACTTCATGCGTTTTTACTGATCTGATTTATCAAAACGATTCCATTTAGACCTGGTCACATAAATATGTTTTCGCAAAATGGATATAAATCCGATTTTAAACAACGCACTATATGCAGATTTAACGGAGTTCACATCACCGAAAGCAACAGTAATGAGCTGCATTTTATTGATCATCAGCTAATTTCACAATCAAAGACCGCACTGAGAGAGACAGCACTGGTAAGATCATTTTATTTATTTACTTTTAACGAAGATGATTTTGTGTTAAGCGACTTACTTTCACTTTGATTTACGATAGTTTGCACGTTGGCTTTATGAATAGATGCTCAGCTGCGGTGTGTGTTATAGCTTCGTCATGAATATAATAGGCTGCTCTCACACGTTTTATTTTAGCATTTTTGGGAGAAGTCCAATTTACATATGCGGTTTCAACAACCAGATGCATGTACGTGTCCAGTTTCGGCCCAGACCTCCTCATGAAGTAGTTTGAGCGATCGGATTTAAATCCGTCTCGAATGCGTTTCGGAGGGCATTTAGCGTCTGGTCTTTTCACGATCGGATAGCAATCAGATCACAGAAACACGTGAAGTGGCCAGATGAAGCTAAACAGCCCGTTGTTTACATCATCATTTAGGATGAAAAGGAAAAAAAAGCTATAAATTCACATCTGCACGTTAGTGATGGATCTAAGCTAATACAAAATAATATTCCAATTGATTGCAGGTGAATTAGAGATGCATTGATATGTTTAAATAAATATATGGAGAAAAAAAATAGGGTGTTTGAATGATTGTTTTTCATTGAAAAGGCTAAAAATGGTATGTCTTAAAATGACAGTGCTGCTAAAATCCTTCAGCTAAATTTAACTCAGAATTTATGTTCTTGATGAGTTCAATGATTCAGGTCAATTAATGATTAAAATAAAACACAGCCAACAACATCAGATCACCTTTTCTGTTTGTTCATCTGGCTGTTATAAGTCACATACAACAGCCAAACAAAATCTAATGAATCAGTGGGTCAAGAGCCCAGCTAAAGCAAACAGTTTATATAATTCTCACTTCTCTGTGTTAATTTAACACTGGGGATTTTGCTGTGTATATTCATCCATCCATCATGTTGTTTCCTGATTCTTCTGTAAGGGAAGGCAATTGAATGTTCCTGCCTGAAGGAGCTGTAAAATATTAATGAACATGAAATCATACACAGCTTGATCTTATTTTTTAAACACTGTCTTTAAAAATGAAGAACTTGTCTTAAAGAAAGAAAAACACTTCCATGAAGCTGTAAAACACCATCTAATGATGGTGACAGGAAGTTTATCTTCACACTGAGATGTGTAAGATAGATGCATTTAGATTTTTTTTTAACCAATCATTTGAGAAAGAAGTTTTATGTGGGTTGTTTTTGTCTCAACATGGGCCGTTGCTTAAGTTGACACTAAAAAGGGGAAGGAGAAAAACTGCAAAATAGCAGAAGAAAGTTTTCAGCTTGCATTTGTACTTCACTCTCCTGGGGTGTGTTTACAGCGGCTGAAACTACAAAACGGTAAGAGTTACTCTCGTTCAGTCATTAATATTGTCTAAATAATGAATCTCCACAGAATATTGAAGGGAGAAACATTTTCTATCGTAATAACCTCTGAACATCCGGAGCTCATGTGTTCCTAACGTTGTCTTTAAATGAGTTTCAATCTTGGAAATCCACTACAGTAAAGATATTTTTCAATCATTTTTGCACTGTTTATAATCTAATACACTGCTGTTATTGTAGTTTTCATGAAACAAAAGCTGACATGTTGTACTGTTGTGTAAATGATTCAGTTTGCTGTGGTGATGTCCCTGATAACTCTTGCTCTGGTGTTTCTGCTCCTGATTCCAGGTCAGTCTCTTCTGTAAATGACACACGAGTTAATTACTAACTAAGAGTGAAAGGTTTTGGCTAGTTAGCATGGATCAGTTAGCACTGCTGCTAGCCTCAGGAAAAATATGATTAGTAAAATATCTACTATAACGTAGGGAAATTTCTATGATTCATTTGTTGCTTCCAAACAAAATTGCATCATTCAGGTTTTTGCTGATATAATGCGAACTGCTGAAGCTGCTAACATTTACAGCGTGACGTTGTTCAGAGTTAGTGTTCAATGTTCTGCTTCCTGCATTTCATCACCGCCTGTCTGATGTCTGTAGACACAGATCAAATCATATGTGATTCAAAACTTTTAATTAAACTGTATGGTCCTGTTTAACTCATAGATGGACATTTGTTTCCTTCTTCTGTTGTTTCCTATCCTTGTGTCCTTGTAAATGTAATGTTTCAGCAGTTTGTATCCAGTGGGGTGTGAGTTACAGTCCTCCACACATCTGTGCACTAAACGACTCAACAGTGATAATGAGATGCACTTATACATACCCTACTGGATATAAGATCAAGGAAGTGTTCTGGAGCAAAACACTGGTAAAAGATGATGACGAGTTTCCAAATCTGTCTAATGACCCTGAATACCGTCAGAGGCTTCAGTATCTGGGAGATAAACAGCAGAACTGCACCGTCAGACTGAGTCATGTGACACTGAAGGATTCACACATGTACTATTTCAGATTCATCACTGATATAACAGTAGGAAAATGGATTGGTGATCCAGGAGTGTCTCTTACTGTCACAGGTGACTTTGATGAGGTTTATCTCTTCTTCTGTGCATTATGTTGAATAATAATCAGTGTGTGACAGCAGCACTAGATATAATGTGTGTGTTGTGTTCAGATCTTCAGGTGGAGTCTCCTGAGAGAGTGACAGAGGGAGATTCAGTCAGTCTGACATGTAAAAGCAGCTGCGCTCTGACTGACAGAGCAACATTCATCTGGTACAGAAACTCACTGAAGATATTAACTGGGAGAAGAGACAGTAACAAACTCATCCTCAGTCAAGTCAGAAGAGAGGATTCAGGCAGATATAGCTGTGCTGTAGACGGACACACACACGTCTCTCCTGATGTTCACCTCAATGTCACGTGTGAGTATGTTCTTTGAAGTTTTCTTTCCAAAGTTCACTCGTCCCTCCTTTTCTTTAATAATGGAAGTAATTGGGGCTAATGTTTAAAACATTAACATTATCACTGTTTAGTACAGCCACAAGACATGAACCATATGTGTGTGTGAGGGTGTGTTTATAACATTTTCTGTTATATTATATAAGAATGATTCGTTCAAGAGCTGAACATCACTAGCACTTTTTCACCTAACAATTACCTTACTAACTACAATTTTTGTCATGTAATTTGGAATCACTAAGCGACTAATGGAGTTCTGTACAGAGTGTACAAGAGTTCTTCTGGAGTTATGCAAATTCTGTGGAAATTGATGAAAGTGGCATGGGAAAGACAGGTTGTACCTAGAGCATGGTGCAGAGCAGGTGGAGTCTTTATAACTAAAGAAAAAGATGCTACAAGCATCAGCCAGTTTCGTCCTATCTCGCTATTAAACGGTAAGATTTTCTTTAGCATTATTGCCCAGAGATTGTCCACCTACTTATTAAAGAATGGCTTCATTGATACTTCAGTTCACAAAGCGGGAACTCCAGGGTTCTCGGGATGCTTGGCTAATGCATATGGTTCAGTGCCACATGAGCTCCTTTGGGCAGCATTTGATTTTTTTCAGAGTACCATTGTCTATAACAAAGTTAGTGAAAGCCTATTTTGGAGGTTTGCAATTTAGTTTCTTAACTCCAAAATTCAGCACTGCATGGCAATGCTTAAAGGTTGGAATATTGCCAATTCTCCACTGGCTTTTACCATGGCAATGGAAGTAATCATTAGGGCATCAAGATGGGTAGTAGGACGCTTGGCTTCTGGGATGCGATACCATCTGTGTGTAAGGATAGAAATAGAAGTGCTTTTTTGGGTTGACGGGTGATACAATATATTTCTTAGATCCTCCAGTGAATCCTGTGATCTCCATCAGTCCATCTGGTGTAATAGTGGAGGGAGATACAGTGACTCTGAACTGCACCAGTGACTCAAACCCTCCTGCAGAAATCTACTGGTTTAAAGGAGGAACGTTTGTAGGATCTGGAAAAATCTTCAACATCTCAAAGATCAGATCTGATGACAGTGGAGAATACAAGTGCAAGTCCATCAATGAACATGGAGAGAAATACTCCGCTGTGATTTTAAATGTCATGTGTGAGTTAATGATGGTTCAGTAACTGTTGTGACAAACAAATGAGTGGATTAACATTTGCAAAACATTAATGTAGAGTTTATTTTGTCTGTTTTAGATCCTCCCAGGAACGTCTCAGTGTCCATCATTCAGTCTGGTCAGATCTGGGCAGGAGATTCAGTGACTCTGAAGTGCATCAGTGACTCAAACCCTCCTGCTGTGAACTTCAGCTGGTTTAAGGAGAATGAAAGCTCAGCTGTTGGATCTGGACAGAGTTTCAGTGCACTACAGAGTGGACGCTTCTACTGTCAGGCTCACAATCAACATGGATCTCAGAGATCAGACGCTGTAACTGGTGAGGCTTAGATTTTATTAAGGGTTCAAGACATTTGTGTAGCTTTGAGAGTTAATATGAACTCAAATTATTCATCATTTAGTACATCGTGGTCATGGATGGCTCTGGTTGGTGATCACAGTGTGTTTAGGATTCTTCATCGTCATCATCATAATTCTGTTTATAATGTAAGTTTGATTAAAATCATTCTCAAATACAGTGAGTGTATGAATGTAATTGGATTTAAAACTAGGGCAGGTGGAAATTCCTCATGTGATGTGATTAGTATTAATCTTTAAAATGCATTTACAAGTTTAACATATCTGTTAAATCAGGAGAAAACGAAGAGGTGCTAAAGCTGAAGACCTCACCGAAAATCAGGTACATCTTCCAGACACAACTTTCACACAAAACATGAGAGGCAAGTCAGTGGAACGAGAGACAAAACACCCCAAAAAGTTTAGAGATGTGCCTAGAACAGTTTACCGCTTTTTAATTTTAGTGCTGTGTTTAACGTCGTCATGTGAGTGTGTTATAGAAAAACTATGGAAAGCACTGAAATGGAAAACCATTTTCCTGTTTGAACAGCCTTTAAATTTATATGAATGATAAATAATATTTCATTTTCTTCCATTTCAGGACAATCTGTACTCTACTGTAACAGGGAGAAATGCTCATGTTTCTGAATCAGCCGATTGTGATGACGCTCGGTACGAAAGTGTTACTCCCAGCAAACCCAGAAGAGACGGAAATGCTCCTGAATGCAGAGATACTGAGGAGATCCAGTACGCAACTGTCCAACATCACAGAAAGACCGAAACGAAGAGAGCAGAGGAGGACGAAAGCCACTACGACAATATCAGGATTGGTCAGCCTGATGCTGCCGTGAGGTGAGAAAACAAGCTTGAAGAGACAGTTCACACACAAATAAAACATTTGCCATCAACTCAGTCATGTTAATTTTTTTCTTAATAACTTTGTGTCCCACTGATGTTCACTGAAAAAAAATGATGTTGGCTTTAATTAACTTTTTAATGTCAACTGGTTCCACATAAATGGGTTACGCTAAACAAACATAATTTGTTCATGTAACTTCAACATAATGGAATTAAGTAATTTTAAGCTATGAGCACTGAAGCAGTGTTAAAGTTAATGAGATAATTTAGTAAATAATTGAGAGATAATTGATCTTTATTGAAGACACCTGATGGTAACAAGCAGAATCACTGAAGGAGAAAACCGGAATTTAAAAAATTCATAATTGTCACCATTATGGTGATCAGTGTGTGTTTAAGTTGGGCTCTTGACCCTCACATCTTTAACTTTAGATTTTATTTAGCTGCTGTACATGAGTTATATCAGCCAGATGAACAAATATAAAATATGATTTGATGGTGTTGGTTATGTTTAACATAATTGATATTTTACAATCATTTTACTTGAATCGTTGAACTCATACAGAAGCCAATTTCTGTGTGAAGTTTAATTTATTGAATATAGCAGCACAGTCATTGTAGCACATACCATTTTTAGCATTTGAAATCAAATGAAATCAAAATGATCAAATCAATAAAAACTAAAGACATTTCAAAACAAAATTTTATGTAGGCATACACAGACATCAAGAATCAGCCTGTGAATCTCAACAATGGTGACAATTATAAAGCATGTTGCAGTGCATTCTAGGTGCCACCAATCAAAACTCATTCATGGCTCTCATCATGCATTGCTGTGTGAATAAATAATGCGATTATGTTAAGAGGTGATCTGTTTGTCACCATTGCTGAGATTCATACGCTAAATCTTGAGGTCTGTGTGTGCCTACAGAAAATACATTATATATATATTTATATTTTCATTCTTTTATAAATTTCTTTATTTGGTTGATTTTATCATTTGGATTTCATTAAAAGGCTACCATTGATGTGCTCTACAATGACAGAGCTGCTATAACCCATGAGGTAAAATTAACTTAGAAATTGGGTTCTATATAAGTTAAGTGATTCAGTTCTATTGATTATGTTAAAACATAACCAACACTATCAGATCACTTTTTTTATTTGTTTATCTGGCTGTTATAATACATAGAAGTTACATGAACAAATTATGGTTGTTTAACGTAACCCAGTTATGTGGAACCAGTTGACATAAAGTTAATTTATGGAACCTGTTAAGGTAAAAAGTTAATCAAAGCCAACATTTATTTTTTTGGGGAATTTTGATCTGATGCATGACATGATTGTTTTTATTTGATGTTTTTAGGCGATCAAATGTGCAGACTGTGGAAGATGTTTCTGTGATCTACAGTCGTGTAAAATGAGTAAATGAGACCATCATGAAGACAAAGGCCAAAACAATGAAACAATATTCTGAGAGTAGGGCTGTCACATGCTAATTCACTCAGTTATTTGTTATTCGTTAAATTAGGTAAATATGTCAGGAATGCAGTGTCTGTAACCCTTTCTCATTACAAGAGCCAAGAACCAACAACACATTGTTTAGTGAGACTAAAAACATTTTGTGATGTCACTGGCTTGGTAATTTTTGTTCTTAATGTCATTTGAACTTTTGACTTCATGTGTTTCTGTAAGCAAATAAAAATGATGTATCAGTCTTACCAAATTCAAGCTTGTGTGTGGTCATTTCTGGGTCATTGTAGACCTAAACTATGAAGAACCTTTCATATGTGTAATATCAAGTGTTTTTTTCTGATTAAAAAGGAAAACAAAAAATCAAATCATAATTTAGTTTTTTTCCCCCTAAATAGTTTTTTTTTTTCTCAATTTTTTGTTTTCATATATGAAAGCAAGAACAAATGAATGGACAATACTTGGACATTTTATGGCTGCTGTAACAGTGCATAAAATGCATTTGTTGTGGCAAAGAAAGCCAAGGTGGAGTGAGATTACATGATGATGATATAATTGTCATAAAGTGGTCACATTAGTGCTATTAATGCATGCAAATTTTGTTATTTTGTCTATTGACTTTGTGATAATGCAGTGTTAGCAGTGTTATGCAATCTGATAATTTGAAGATCTTTAAAAACACACAAACAACCACAATCCACCACTTTCTGTCTTTTTTTTTTTTTTTTTTTTGCCAAAAGAGCAAAAAAGAGCTTCTCTTACGGCTGTCAAAAATAACTCTCTGTGGTCGAAGTGACAACATCCAGTCTTACTCAATACATGTTTCAAAATGATTCCGAAAATGTTTCCAGGAAGAAACCGTGGTCAGAATAAAAAGCCAAAGGTTTTATTTTAAAAAGTTTAATCTAAATATCTCTTCATATTTAACATCTCTTCAGTTTTAATATGGGAAAAAGCAAGCAAAACTGTAAATACATTCATATCTGACAATATGCCAATAAATCTGAGATTCACTGATCAATTAAAGTGGTGGACCAAAAAATATGACAAAAGTAATTAAACCCAAAATGCCTTAACACTAGGAAATGAGAGTTCCTATTATTAAAAAAATGTGTGATTTAATTACTTTTTAGATGACAATAAATGCCATTGGATCATGATGAAATGTTTTCTGAAGTTTCTCACACAAGGGCAGGACCCAAGAAAGAGGAAGGAACATTTTGTTTTAAAATGGGGATTTTAAAACAGTGTTGATCACGTGAAAACAGTTGTACTGAGATCAGACTCCCCAGAACACGGTAAGAGATACAATGGTTAATATCTGAAAACAGTATAGTCAGATTAATACTTTTGTGGAAACCTCTGGCCTATTCAATAGGAGATATTCTAAATCTAATATATGGAAATATTTTGGAAGATAAATACCGTTTCTAATGATGTGTGTGTTAAATTGTAGAAATCCATCAGAATGGCTCCTCATCTTCCTCTGGTGATTCTGCTCATGGTTCACAGTGAGTCATTTGAGAATTAACATAATTAATATTACATAGTCACATAATAAATAAACCTGTTTTTTTCTGGGATCTGACAATCATTGGACTCCCTGGTGAACCCCCTTTACTTTTTTTACAATAAGGCTAGACACTACAGGTGAATAGGGTAAAATTTTTAAATATTAGATATCACCATGAAACTTCCTCAGTTGAATACTTAAACAAGTATGTAAAAAAAATGTATTATACGTTGTTGAAATTTGTATGTTTAATTATGCAAATTAGGCATTATCTCATTAAATATGCACAATTTTGCATATATTTTAGTAGTAATAGATAGATCTGAACATATGATAAAGCCAGGTGCAAATTACTTTTTTTCATTTTGTTTACACACAAGATGAAAAAAAAAGTTCAGAGGAATTTTCAGGATATATGCTTTCATTACCTAGGAAATCAAAATATACTGTCCATAGCCTATTTTCGCCATATTTTTAAGTTAAAATGTCACATAAATCAGGCCAGGAATGATTTATTAACAAATCCCTCTGAAAATATTTTCAGAATACTGCTAAGTGTATAACTGGAAAGTTTGGTGTACATAGGCTGAGATATTTGTACTGGAGAATTTAAAGATTTAAATAGTGAATTTAATACATTTCTTTTAGAAAAAAAATGCTAATAATACTGTATATGATATTTCAAGCTCATGAAAACTGATTATTTAATAACACGGCAGGCATATAAGACCTGCAACTGCAGTAAATCAATGAATTAACATTGGCAGAGTAACAATGTGTCTGAGCGAATCACGTCAGCAGAAACTGGCAGTAGCCAATGAGATTTCGTCATTAGCTTTAAATCACCCTTTGGACATTCATGATTGGTTACTGATAGAAAGGAAATGGCCATATTTGGGTTACATAGCGTTGTGCAGGAGATTCAAAACTTTACAACGAGACCGGTCATGACAGACTTCAGTAAACAGACGGAGCGTGGCGTGACTTCTTGGTAAATTCGGGATAAATTTACTGCCGCAAGTGAACAAAATGTAATAAAATAAACATTTTGATGTATATTTTCAACGTTTTCTTTATAGCAGCTTGAAAGAGCACTTATTGAAGGAGTAAACTAGCCCAAAAACTGATCACTGCATGAAAATTTTTACGTTTTTGCCTGCTGTGTCTCGCCTTAATCAGATATAGACCATTTCACAAGATGTAAACAACACTGGTCCAGAAGCACTTCCTGTTTCAGTTTTTTAACACTACATAAAAGCTGGGATAAAATACAACCAACAGAACATTTAAAACTGAATCAAAAAGTTAAACAAACATCTTTAAGATGTTTTCTTTACATGTGAAATAAAGAAAACAGTTACAAACTGAAACAGGAAGTGTTTCTGGACCAGTGATGTTTACATCTTGTGAAATGGTCTATACAATGTCATTTACCACGGTCTATCTGAATAGTTAATTCTTATTGGCTGAAAGGTTTGCAATAAAACCGTTTAATTGTAGTTCCATGTCAGTTTAATCACTGTTCTATATTAATGCTCTGCTTTCATTGAACTCTAAACTTCATTGATATAGAGTGATTCTGCACAGACGTCGCTCTCTCTCACGTCTCTGCAGTGTGAACAAAATCCTGGCTCTTCCATGCTTTATAAAGTCCATAAAAGTGCATCAATCCATGATAAAAATGCTCCACACAGCTCTGCGGGGGTTTATACAAGCCTTCTGAAGCAAAGCCATGTGTTTGTGTAAGGAAAATATCCATATTTAACACGTAAAATAGAAACCACCAAAGCCTGCGGGCCCAGCTCCCCCTCCTCCTGTGAGAGCTCTTTGGCCTCTGCCATAGTACCATGGCCCACACCCTCCTCAATCTGCTTGAGGTGAACCAAAAACAACTGATACCAGGTCTCAGTGATATGTGTCGGGTGCCCGCTATGAAAACAATAACTTTCTTAAATGTTTACAGAACAAACGGGGACCCAGTGTGCCCGAATCTTTTTCCATTCTCTATCTTTCCCTATTCTCAACGAAACATCCCCTCCTAACTTTACTTTTATGATCATAAAAGTAAAGTTAGGAGGGGATTTTTCACTAAATGAAATTAATGACTTTTAAGATTACAACAAATGCCATTGGATCATGATGATCCAATGGCATTTATTGTAATCTAAAAAGTCATTAATTTGATTTTATAAATCAAATGAATGACAGTCTCATAATAACAACAAAACCTTGAATCAGTGAGACACACAAAACTAAAAAAAAAAACTACATACCAATTGAATTCACCATTGCATTTCTAGACAGAAAAATAAACCAGGTTAACTGGAAATTTTGGGTAAACTATCCCTTGCTAAATTAAAATTAAAATGAATGTACAAGTTTATGACAGCAGAAAGGTTTGGGACAACATTAGAAAATTATGAGAGAATAATTTGGGGTGAAATATCTCTTTAATGTGTGTTTCAGGAGTTTATGGCCAGAATGTTGATTCGCGTGTGAGTTACAGTCCTTTAGACATCTGTGCACTGAAGGACTCAACAGTGAAAATGACATGCTTGTTTACATACTCTGGATATTATATTACCAATGTGTATTGGACCAAAGATTCTGTAATAAAGGATAAAGAGATTCCAGATCTGTCTAATGACCCTGAATACAGTCAGAGGCTTCAGTATCTGGGAGATAAACAGCAGAACTGCACCGTCATAATGAGTCATGTGACACTGAAGGATGAAGACACGTACTACTGCAGATTCGTCGATGATCAATACAAATGGATTGGTTATCCAGGAGTGACTCTTACTGTCACAGGTGACTTTGATGATCTCTTCTTCTTTGCATTATGTTGAATAATAATCAGTGTGTGACAGCAGCACTAGATATGTGTGTGTTGTGTTCAGATCTTCAGGTGGAGTCTCCTGAGAGAGTGACAGAGGGAGATTCAGTCAGTCTGACATGTAAAAGCAGCTGCGCTCTGACTGACAGAGCAACATTCATCTGGTACAGAAACTCACTGAAGATATTAACTGAGAGTAAATTCAGGAACACACTCATCCTCAATCCAGTCAGAAGAGAGGATTCAGGCAGATATAGCTGTGCTGTAGACGGACACACACACGTCTCTCCTGATGTTCAGATCAATGTCATGTGTGAGTATCTTATTATTAGTATTTTATTTAGGGAATAAGAAAAAAAGGCCACATTCTGAGGCCATTTTCCATTAAAACAGTAATATACCGCAGAAAACAATGCATTATTGGCAATATTTGTCATTTTCGAGAGAATAGCCTAAATCAGTGTTTCCCAATCCTGCTCCTGAAGGACCCCCAACACTGCATGTTTTCTTTGTCTCCCTAATCAAACAAACCTGATTCAACTCATCAGCTCATTATCACAAGGGGATATACAGACGTGGAAAATTCCAGGGCTGCATTCAGCCCCGACAAAACGTTGCACAACGTTTTTTTAAACAGAAATGGTGATGTGTTGAACACACTGTTCTGATGACGCAAGAGTTGCAACTATGGCAGCAGAGAAGGTCATTCTTTGGCCATGTTTACACGGAAACGATTCTGAAGAGAAAACGCAAAAGTGGCGTTGCTTCATCACTTTTTATTCTGCGTTTAGACGAGTGTTTTGTGTGGGAAATTCGCGTGCAGATGGAGACGCAAAAGTCTGTGAAATTCAATGTAGTATGCACTTCAGGCGGCTAGGAGCGCATACTACAACAACACCAAGTCCACGCGCCTGCATACAAGCTTCACTGTCAAGCAGACTTTTGAGTTTTTACCGTTTGCACGGGAAAACGGCTTAAGTCGTTTACACGACTTGTTCATTTAGTTTATTTAATAACAAATAAAACGATGAAGACCATTTATAGACTTTATATCTTTAAGACATGTAAAACATCCATGTTTGCACATCGCCTGTAGGCTACTGGGTTCGTTTGCAAAGTGTAAAAGTAAGAAACTTATACAAGATAATGATGACGATGAGTACTATTATTAAACTTAAGTTATGATAAAAAAAGCATTTAATTTAAAGTCTTTTTTATCTGCCGGGATGATAGAATTGAAGTCATTACATGAGGACGTAAAAGAACTGGTGAACCGTTTTTTTGAACGAAACGAACTGTCCGAAATAACCGGACTTCCCATCTCTACTAATTAGTGAAACAGGACTTTTTCTCTTTGACCCCTGGATTACCCATCTCTGCTCATGACAGATAATGAGGGCTTTAAAACTAGACGATATATAGCTCCATCAAACCCTGCTGTGAGATTTATAAAGAAATGACTTACCGACTCTGGTCTGGAAGAATTTGATTGCATGAAGTCTGTGAGTCTGTGTGAGTGAATTCAAATCAAAGTTTTTCTTGACACTTTGAGGCATTTGATGATGAACTAAAGATACAAATATCAAATATTTCACCTGTAGATCCTCCAGTGAATCCTGTGATCTCCATCAGTCCATCTGGTGTAATAGTGGAGGGAGATTCAGTGACTCTGAACTGCATCAGTGACTCAAACCCTCCTGCAGGAATCCACTGGATTAAAAGAGGAATGTTTGTAGGATCTGGAAGAATCTTCATCATCTCAAAGATCAGATCTGATGACAGTGGAGAATACAAGTGCAAGTCCATCAATAAACATGGAGAGAAATACTCTGATACTGTGACTTTAAACGTCATGTGTGAGTTAATGATGTTTCAGTTACAGTAACCATTAAATGAATGGATTTACAATCACAAAACATTAATATACCCTTTCTTTTGTCTATTTAAGATCCTCCCAGGAGCGTCTCAGTGTCCATCAGTCCATCTGGTGTAATAGTGGAGGGAGATTCAGTGACTCTGAACTGCATCAGTGACTCAAACCCTCCTGCAGGAATCTACTGGTTTAAAAGAGGAATGTTTGTAGGATCTGCAAGAATCTTCAGCATCTCAAAGATCAGATCTGATGACAGTGGAGAATACAAGTGCAAGTCCATCAATAAACATGGAGAGAAATACTCTGATAATGTGACTTTAAACGTCATGTGTGAGTTAATAATCATCTGCACATTGTTTAAAATTTCCAAACACAAAATTTTGTAATAGTTCTTGTGAATTTAAATTTTTGTCTATTATAGATCCTCCCAGGAGCGTCTCAGTGTTGATAAGTGGATCTGGTGTAATAGTGGAGGGAGATTCAGTGACTCTGAAGTGCATCAGTGACTCAAACCCTCCTGCTGTGAACTTCAGCTGGTTTAAGGAGAATGAAAGCTCAGCTGTTGGATCTGGACAGAGTTTCAGTGCACTACAGAGTGGACGCTTCTACTGTCAGGCTCACAATCAACATGGATCTCAGAGATCAGACGCTGTAACTGTCACAGGTGAAGCTTTTATTAACACACTCCTGTATCTTCACATCATTCATCAGTTTGGAGAGTTAATCATGATGATCTTCCTCTTTCAGTTCATCATGTTGCTGGTAGGAATGTGATTGCGATCACATCGGCTTCTGGGGGAGTATTCATCATCATCATAATCTTCATCACAATATTTATAATGTAAATACAATATTAGAGAATCAATAACATTTTCAGTCGTTCAACGTTATGTCAACGTAACTGGGATCACTTCAGGGATCCCTATGATTTTCGATTGTATACAGAACAAGCCAATGCACACTGGAGTGTGAGATTTGCATGTCACCCCCCACCCTACAGCACAGGTATACATACAGAAGCGGATGCACGCACCTTTGGCTTTCACTTCGGAGCATAGCTTCCTGTACTCTCTAAGTGTGTTGCAGACTTCAAGAGCTTTGTGGAAATTATTTTGTTTGGTGTTGGTGTGACGGCACGATCAGTGGTGTCCGGAAGCTATAAACAGAAAGCTCAACAAATGCTGTTTTCACAGCACTAAAATTCTGTGTCGGTTTGGCGTTCCCCCGTTTTGAGTGTGGACAGCAGGCTGTACTATCCCTACTTGTGCAGTGCAGCTATCACTGGGTGCCTCAGCACTTAAACTAAAATTGTAACTGTTTGAGCAATGCAGAAAACTGCACATTCAGTTGGTCAAGCGATGTCCACCATGGTAGTCCAGGAATGCCACCACTGGCTCAACCTGGCAGACATGAGGGAGACTGATAAATATTCGTTCCTGGACTCCCTCATCTTCCAGTTTGGGCTGCACTCAACAGCTTTTCCCAAAAGTTCTTGTCTACCCAGAAGCAAACGGAGGTCAACCGGCACATTCTGTCCCGGCGGACCGCTTCTGCCAGACCGTTCCTATGCTTTGCGTTCAGGGGACGGGCATAACAGTACAAGGTCTTACCCTTCGGGCAGGCCCCGTGTCTTGAAGGTCGCTCCCATTATAGAGTGTGGTGTTCGCATCCTCAACTGTCTCGACAACTGGCTCATTCTGCCGTAATCAAGAGATCAGTTGTGCGAAAACACAGGGATATTGCCTCATTGAAATTTTTTCAGTGGATGTGACGTCGCTTGGATTGGTTCATATGAGGCACTGCCTTCACGACCGGGTCCCAAGATTGGCGTGGCAGCATGGCTCATGCCGGGTTTCCATCAACCCACACTGTCGCCAAGTGGTCGGACCTTTCCTTTCTACCGCCAGGTGTCCCCCTAGAACAATTGTCTAGGTATGCTGCGGTCTTCATGGATGCCTCTGCCACCGACTAGGGGGCCACATACTACGGTCATAATTAGAAGCGAGAGGTTATTATGTGAGTATAGGTAAGTCTGAGTGGACATCCATGACATGCAGAGTTCCTCAAGGCTCAATTCTTGCGTCAGTCCTGTTCAACCATGCTCCCAATGAGCTAAATAATGAGAAAGAACCAAATTGCTTACCACAGCTATGCAGACGACACACAGCTCTACTTAGCCCTATCGCCTAACAACTACAGCCCCATTGACTGCCTGTGCCAATACATTGATGAAGTAAACAGTTGGATGTGCCAAAACACTCTTCAGTTAAACAAACACAAAACTGAAGTCATTGCGTTTGGAAACAAAGATGAAGTTCTCAAATTGAATGCATACCTTCACTCTGGGGGTCTAGCAACTAAAAGTACCCGAAGTACCCGCTCTAGTGTTGGCTTCCTTCATTTTTCTCTCCATGGAGAGGATACGTGCGCTTGTTGCTCCAGAGAGTTCTTCCACCCTTGGCAATCAGGAGGGTCGGAGCGTCCGATGCCAGGCCTAACACTCGTATGCATTGGTGGAACCTGTGCTAGGCTGGGTCCTATATGTTGTGATCCCTGCGGCGATCCCATATGTGTATTCTTCCACGGAACGGCTCCCTGTGGTGAGCCCCTGTCTTTCCCTTGGTGGAGTCTCCCCTTCCGTCACTGTCCGGTGTTGTGCCCTTATGATGTAAATTGTTTGGATCATTCCAATCATTCCATATGTTAGACTGATCGGCAAGTCCATATGTGTAACTTCCACATGTTTCCTTCCAACCCCTTCCTCTCCCCTGAAAGGGACGCACTTTCCCAAAGTTATCCAAAGAGTCTTACTTGTTGGGTAATGAGGAAAATCAGTATAATCTCTCTCTATGCAGGTCTTCCGACTAGAGACTTGTGTAGGGTGCTGGAGGTGGTAGCAATACCGTTTCCATAGAGATCCCAATTACATTGGCACGTCAATGTAGCGTCGAACATGAACTACGGAAAGGGAATTTCTTGGTTACGTAAGGTAACGTGGATTTCCTGCAGGGTTTCAGGCTGCAAGACTTCCAGATTACCAAAGAAATGTGGGACCCGGAGAATTAAAGAGACAGATCAACAGTTATAATCTTCTTTTATCCCTTCCACGACCATTTGACTAAAACCCAAGTTTTAGACATTCAAACTGACCAATCAGATAATACAACTTCTCCCATTGTGGGCAGCGTGGCTCAGTGATACCATTGTCCTGTGACAGTTTGTGCCCTATCAGCACCTCTGTGCCTTTAGGAACTCAAAATGGTCATTGATAGAATGATGATATATAGAGGGGGTGGAAAACAGTAAAAGCAAATGTGTTTGTTCATTTCAAATATCTTAGATTATTTTCAATCCTACACCTACAAAGGAGGGAATGAGAGAAGTTATGTCCCGACGCCCTGGTTCCTGTACCATCGCTGTAGAGCCGGTCACTATCTCGGCTCCTAAGCGAAAAACAAAAGTGTGTGCATCCGCTTCTGTATTTATACCGCCATTGGCTCGTTCTGTATATACTCGAAGATGACTTGGCTAACTGAAGTGATCCGAATTATGTTGGCATGTTGACGAAACGTTTCCCGTTCCAAAGGGTTACCATAGATAAATGGGACGTTTCTTTCTTTTTTAACAGACAGAGGAAAATGATGAACAGAAGATCTGCAATACATGAGTATGAGGTGAGATGATCACATAAACACAGAATAAAATCAATAAAAGAATTAAATTAGCCTCTTCATTCATGCAGAGATTGTGTGTGTGTGTAGAATTATGATCCAAGTGCAAGATCATATGCAGCTCTTGACCTCAAGACCAGATCTCCTGACCAGTACAACACGCTCACAGTAAGTGACATTTCCAAAAAGAGTTGCATTATAAATTCAGGTAATAAATAATCAATGTGTTTTTCACATAGACTGTTCATCCCAGACCTGCTGTTCACCAGTCAGACTCTCACGAATATGAAAATGTGTCAGTAAGTGTGAGATCCTCACGTCTTCTCAATATAATCAATAAATAAAGTGTCCTCAATAGATAATGAACATCACTTAAATTTTCATCACTTTTAATTACCTAAATTATCTTGTCTCATTTTTGTTGTAGGCACAACGCAATACGCCACGGTAAAATGAATGAACTTTTGTGGGCATCGCTGGACACGCCCACATCACATCTACCACTAAAAATGAGCAACTTTATCTGTGAACGCCACTGTAGAGTTTCTGTTCTGTAGTGAAGTAATGTTTATAGGTTTTTGTAAAATAAAGTAATGGATTATGTTCATGTGCGACCTCAGTGTGTGATGAATGAACTGCATTGTAATCAATAAACATGTTTTCCACTATGAGCCATTGCTGAAAGGACCTTACAAATTATAGTGTGCCTGAATCATGTAAGTCCCCATTAATTCAAAATTGACCATACTTACTTTGTTTGCCTAAATTGATTGTTTTGTTGTGAACTTCATCCATGCAAGTCAGTCCACACCAAAAAAAAATGTTTGGCTTCGTAATCTTTAATCAAAATTTGAACATTCCCCTCTGCACTAAAGGACCTTCCCTGATGATGTAGGTTTGACGGGTTTGGTGTCTGCTTAACATCCGTAACAACGCCGCTCCAACTGACTAGACACCTGCCTGTGTGTTTGCGAACATTGACAGCGTGTGAAAGGAGAGATGGCGAGGAGGTGCATTTTTGGTTGTGGCACTCATGGGTTACTGAGTTACACGCAGGGATCATAATGGTTAAGGTTGCTTTATTAAAGGACTTGCGTGAGTATCATGGCTGATAATACATATCAGTTTATTAAAGGGTTTTATCTCAATTCCTAACACATTAAATTATAGAAAGATGCACAAGCCATTCAACATTCTGTTTTGAATGAGTGCTTTAGAGTGTGTATCAAACTGGCTTATGTTGTTTTGAAATTCTACTGCTTTGACGCTAGAGGGCGACGAGCAAACTCCTGATCTGAAAATGTTGTGAGTTTGTACACTTCATGTGTTTAAAAAAAAATGAAAACACCCCATATACAGATGTTTTATAGATACTGTAAGATTTAAACAATAATTACAATTACACAAATAAAACATACATATTGGATAGCCAATTAAGATTAAATTAAAATTAAAACACATATAAAACAATAATATTAATAATGAAAGATTTGACTTGTATATTAAGTTCTATAGTCTGCAAAATATCCATGTGTATTGAAGGATTTTACAATATTATTAATAAATTGCGTTGTATTAGTCAGCTTGTTTGTAGGTCTTATTTTTGCATGTACACGCATTTGACCAGCAGATGTCCTCAGAGAAACACTGACGGCCAAT